TGTTGGCACCCAGATGTTGCCCAAGATTATAGTCTTATAGTCTGTTAACGCTTCCTAAACATTGAAAGCAGCGAAAAACAATGTTGTAATCTTGTTTCTTCTGACAATAAATTAAAGAAACTTAGTCATTATTAGAAACCTGATCAAGAAGAAAAGAAAAAAGTATTTTCCCCTTTTCATAAGCATTTACGGGAAAACTATCACATTTGAAAATACAAAGAAGAGAAAAGTTTAAACAATGGTGAAGAGCAAATACAGAAGCAATGGAAGACTTCCCTGTGACTTACATGGATTTTCCGAGTGTTTATATTTTGTCTCATCATCTAGCGAACTTTGGAATTATATACTTATAGGGCTTTTTTCCTGGAAATCAGCTTTTTTTCTCTTAATTATTTTACCACATTGACTGCATGTAGTTCAATCTCTTAGTCTATTCCATTATCAGTATTTTCAAAAAAGCATCTGTTCTCCAAAATAAGTCAAATTATAACTGTCTTAGTGCATATTTTGGGAAGTTATAGATAATACTTTATGATGAAAGTGTTTTTGAACCTTGGAAAATTTTTCATTGTATACTTATTACTGTAAGGTTTCTATCCAGATCTAGAATAGAATGATATTTTTCTCTGAATATATATAATATATATTCCACTGGCAGCTGCATCTGTTTATTATCTTTATAATTAGAAAAAAAAAAAGAGGAGAGAGATAATGCACCTCCTTCCCAAAAGTTGTAGCCATTATATTGAAAAAGTATATAGTTTTAAAAATTTTCATTGTATGGGTTGAAATTATTTTTTTAGTTGTTTACTTTTCAGTGTCTAGTTTAGTGTGCAGGTTTTTAATAATGATATATATGTGATTTATTAATCCAGTTGAAGATGTTCTATTATTGATTATATATTTTCACCCTTAAGAATACACAGAATATTTTCTACAGTTTAACCACATTGGCGACAAATTCCCCACAAAAGACTTCTATTTCTAAAAGTGTGACCAGGTCTTTTGCCCTGTGTGGTATGTTCTGGTGGAATCTGTCCTATATTTCCCTGAAAGCACTGTACCTCAGAGTCCCAAGCCACCTGAAACGTAGAGATGATCTGTAATCATATAAACTCAGAAACTGAGGGTGCTTCTGTTAAATAAACTGCCATTTTTCTCTATCTTAAATGTTGATGAAATTGTAATTATTTTTCTACTTAATTTTGTTGCTCCTTTTATTGTGACCTTAACTAAATTATGTAAAAGTCACAAGTAATTGACATATTGAACTATTTGGACATTGTTATTTCTTGTATGTAAATTACAGTTCCTAATGCAGTTTGATATATATTCAATAACTATTAATTAGAAGACGCTTATTTCACATATTTAAAACATTTTTAAGTACAAGTATAGATGACACAAGGTTGACAGCCATAGAAAGGAAAACAATATATATCAATATATATTAAATATACATTGTGTATAGTACCAAGGACTAAAATATATAAAATGTTGCTTTTTTCTTTTTTCATGGCGTAATTATTAACTATAACATGTTTGTTTCCAAAAACACTAATGTTTTAAAGTATATTAGTCAACTTTACTTTTGTTTCTGATTCTATTTCTATTGTGAAAACTCATCATAAGCGACATTGTTTAATGACATTACTATAGAGAAGTTGATAGAACCCTTGTCTAGCAAGGAAAATAAAACTAAAATTCAATTTATCTATGTCGCTCATGACATGACTTAGATACTACAGATTTTAGGGGGAAAAAAACCTGTAAAGCTATGGTATATGCAAGCAGCTGTAGAATATTTAGGTAACTTTTGTGGGAGAAAATGAACCAGGGACTTGCAACACAACAGAGACATTGGTTCTGTTTTCTGTTTCCTATTTTTAATACAGTGTGTGGCCTTGGGTAAACTATTCACTTCTCTGGATGTACCTCTAGATTTATTGTGGGACTCTTAGAGACTTTTGAGCTATTTAGTGCAGAGACTTGACTTAACTCTGTATTCCCTGTTGTGTTTGTGAGAGTGCTTTGCAAAGTACTCCACAAATACAAATATTGTTATGTATTTATTGTGTAATCATTATGTGGTCGTTCTTAAGTAGTCATGATTTTAATTGATAGCAAGATAAATCTCAGCTCCCTCATAGTTTTGTTTGTTTTGATTTGTTTCATTTCTAAGCAAAAAGTTAAATGCAAGACTTGATAGCTGGCATAATGCCAAGCATATATAGAGCTCAGTGTAATGATAATGACTTGTCTTCAGAAACAAAGGATTGTATTATATTTTGTAGATTTTGGAGGAGGTGGTTGAAATATATTTTTCCCACAGAAATATGTGAGTGGTTGCTTTGTTCCTAGATAGTTCTGCAAATTTCGATTTAACTCATATATCTTAAACTTGTGGTAAAGTGACATTATAGTCATAGGCCTAAAACACATATACACTGAGCTTATGAGGACTTACTGTACATTTCAAGTAGGAGTTACAAGAACATATTTCTGTACTCATTCCTTTCTTTCTGCCACTCACAAGCAGTGGTATATAGAAGGGATGAAGTAGAGATCAGCCCTGTAGGTTCTAGAATTTGTCTGCTCTTCATGGCTGCAACAAAAGAAGACAGTTGTTTAGATTGGAACATCAAAATCAGAAGACAGAAAGTTATTCCTTTATGGTATCATGGTTGAAGTCTCTAAACTCAAGTTTACTGCTGTGTATTTAGAAGGAGGGTTTGGTAGTCATGAGCACCCACAGCACCCAGACTATGGTTTTTGCATGCCATTTTTCATTTAAACAAACCAAAGAAATGGATGAATCCAGGTCTGATGCAGAAAAAGTCTAAGGTGAAATGAGACATCTTATTGTGCCCAAAGCAGGATACTTACGAAAGGCTTCTGAAGTAATGTCAAAGGGCACAGGAACCAACTTGAAAGGGCTACCACTGATCAAAGATGGAATCATTAAAATTTTTTATAATTTTTTATATTTTGAAAAATTTTAAACATTTGCAGAAAAAAAGAGAAGCTTATAAAAATGCTCAGCTTCAGATATAAGAACTCAAAAAGTTTGAGTTATCAACTCATGGCCAACCTATTTTAGTGACAGCCTCACCTGTGCTCCCTCCTCAACATGGAATTATTTTGAAATAAATACCCATCATTTAATCTGTGAACCATTTAATCTGTGAATATTTCAAGATATATCTCTAAAAGAAGATTATTTTAGAAACATAATAATTGTATATTTCACAGATGGGACAGTTTGAACAGGAATAATAATTGTGGTGGGTTGAACAACATCAAACATCTGCAAATCATAGTTTTAAAAAAACATGGCTTTATAGTTTTTAGGGCATTAGCTAACTCATTACTCTGGAAATTGCTCAATAAAAGGAAAGAATCAAGAATCACTTTTCCCGTACATATTGTATTTTGAGATAGCCAAATAGTTAATAAGATTAAATTCTTCTTTATAGAATGCCAGTAAATATGGAAGGAATGCTGTAGGAAAACACAGTTCTGCAGCCCCTAATGAAACAATTTAGTCTGTGGTTATCATAACCGTGAAGTGAAATTTTGATAAGGATGATATAATGGATATAATGGATGGATTGGTCAACCACACTGGAAGCATGAGCATTAGTCAACTTAGTACCACCCAAAATGAGATATCTAAACATTATGTGCCTACTAATGTGATGCAATATGAAAGCATATACCAATACTTATGGCATAATCTTGCTAAAAACAAAGGAGAAACAAAATAAATGGAAAGTCTGTCTAACTAAGCCTACAGATATAATTGCCAAATTATAGGAAATGAAGATAGAACATGTTAAAGGGTATGAATGGCATAAAGGAGGAAGAAGGTTGAACTAAGGACTTATACCAACCAAATGCACCGTCAACCTTGTTGAGATTCTGATCCAAAAGGGGCAAACTGAAAAATTGGGGGGGCAGTAAAGGAACTTGAATATGGCCTGGGTAATATATTAGAGAGTATGTTAATTTTGCTAGGTATGAGAATCGGAATGATATTTTGATGATACTAAAAACTTTGTTTAAAATGCCTACTGGCCGGGCTCGGTGGTTTAACCTGTAGTCCCAGCACTTTGTGAGGCCGAGGCGAGTGGATTGCCTGAGCCTGTGGGTTTGAGACCAGCCCGGGCAACTTGATGAGACCTTGTCACTACAATAAATCAAAGAATTAGCTGGGCATGGTAGCACGCCCCTGTAGTTCTGGTTACTTGGAAGGCTGAGGCAGAAGGATCGCTGAAGCCCAGCAGGTCGAGGCTGGGGTGGCCGTGAGTGTGCCACAGCACTCCATCCTGGGTGACAGAGTGAGACTCCAACTAAAAAAAAAAAAAGTCTACTGAGGTACTTATAGGTGAAATAATAGGTTGTCTGAGATTTGCTTCTAAAACTGACTGTTTGAAGTGTTACCCCCAGATCCAGCAACATTGGCCTCTCTGAAGTGCTTGTTAGAAATGCAGAAACTCAGGCCCCAGAACCACTGTAGAACCAGAATCTGCATTTTTATAAATCTCTAAGAGATATGTATGCACATTAAGGTTTGAGGAACACTGCTTTAAAATACTTGGGGTAGAGGAGAGTTTGGGCAGAGTATTAAGAAAACAAGATTGGAAAAGATTGATAATTATTGAAAATGTGTGATGGGTACATGGGAATGTGACTGACTGCATGTCAAATATTCCTAAATCTGGCCTGAGCTACTATGTGACAGTGCATATGTGTGTATGTATTCAGTCCTGTGGGTTTTTTTTTTATTAGTTCGAGGAGCTAGTAAGCGTTGAGGAAAATATTACCTGATTCTGTCCCTTCCTGCCTCAGTTTGTGAAGTTATTGGGTAATAGTCAAAAATCCTCAATGCTTATTTCTTTCAAAATTGTTCCTTATCAAATCACATTGTTCCCTTAAAATTCACAAAAGAAACTTATCGTAAATGGCTGGTGCTGATTTATTGTCAATTTCTCTCTCAGGCACGCTTAAAAAGACCTCTTAAGAGTCTTGATGGTGCTCTATATGATGATGAGGATGATGACATTGAAAGAGCAAGCAAGTGAGTAATGGATTTTGGTGTCCTATTCAGTGGTGTGGCTTAATGGTAGAGGTTTTATGCACAAAAAATATTTTGAAGAATGTGCACTTTGAGTGCTCAGATTTTGCTCCCTTGCAATGTTCTTCAGCAAAAGGAGTCAGAACTCCTTGGAATGTTGTGGGGAATATCAGGGCAGGAAAGCAGGATGGATCTGAAATAACTTGTTCTTGGAAAACAGTAATGCCTGTGGAGATATCTGGGATAGTGTTAAAAGTGAAAGAGAAGCACACCTGAATTAGGTTCTTACCCTCATGCTGGAGAGGGGAGGGTTACATATCAGAAGCAGTGGCAATAGTCATTTGAAACAAGCTGATTTGGTACTGGAGACTTAAGTCCATGGTGATATCAGAGGAGGTCAATTTAATAAAAAGTGTTAAAAATTAATTTTAACATAAAATAAATATTATATTGAGCTTTTTATAGTTTTAAATATATGAGGATGACATATTGGGCATTCTTTTTCATTCATTATGTCTCTGTATATGTAAAGAAATATGCATTCTTCTCTAAAATAAGTGAATAAATAGAAAAAGAAAAACAATATAAAATATTGAAAGTGAACTTGAACTATAGCAAACTTTCTAAGCAGTCTAGTATTCTTAAAGTAAAGGTCCTAAATCCCACAGAAGCACACTGTGAAAAGCCCTGCTTCTACTTCTAGATTGATAGGTACCAATTAGTGATTTTTGTTGTCCCACTAAAGTATTACTTTGACTTTGGAACTTTCTCATTAATTGGGTATAATTGGTGAACAAATACTTACATGCAACATATGTGGTTATATATCTACTACTGTGTTATATACCTATAAACTATGTTTTATTTTCTTCAGATTGTCTTCTGAAGATGGTGAAGAAGCTTCTGCTTATTTTTATGAAAGTGATGACTCTGTTGAAACAAAAGTAAAGACTCCTTACTCAGGTGAAATGGATTTATTAGGAGAGATCCTTGATACATTGAGCACACACAGCTCAGATCAAGGAAAGCTGGCTGCTGCAAAGAGCTTGGATTTCTTTAGATCAATGGATGATATTGATTACAAACCTACGGTTAGTTGATTTTTCAACTTTTAAAAGTAAAATAAAACATTCTTGCCCCTGCTGTGATTGCCTGATCTTATCATCTTAGTTGGTAGAAACGTGTAACCTCTAAATAGTTAAGTGTCAAAACTTCAAAAATATAGTAAAATTTAATCGCTAAGAATTATGTCTATTAATACAATTCCAATATTTTTCCTTTCACTTATCCAGTTCTGGTGCTTATTATCATTAATTGAAATTCCTCTGTCAAACAGTAGTATTTTCTTGCAATCTAATTTTATAGTTGTCTGGTAAATTTTTAAAATGTGAAATGTTTCCACTTGTTTTCTGTATTTCCTAGGTTTCCAAACAAATTTTAAACAATGTATTTATTTAAATCATTTTTAAAATTTTATTACTTCAAAAGTATACATAGTAAACAAATTGAACTGCTTTAAAAACAGAGAGACAGAAGTATGAATGATGGCAATCCTGTTTTGATTGTAAGTGACTCCAGAACTTGGCATCAATTATATAATCTGATTTGGATTTGATAGGTAACAACTGCAAGGACATGGAAACCAAGCTCATTCATTCCATTCCATCCCTGTTAATAGAGCCACTTGGATATATTTAGAATTAACTGTCAGTGCATTGTTTTCTCTGGGAGGAACTTCAAGTTCCTAGCCTTGAAAGATACTAACATTGATTTCAAAATGTAAAAAAAAAGTTTGCTAAATTAATGTTTATTAAATAAAGTTTTCTGAACCAGGCATGGTGACTCATGCCTGTAATCCCATTTTGGGAAGCTGAAGTGGAAGAATCACTTCAGGCCAGGAATGTAAGACCAGTCTGGGCAACATAGAGAGACCCTATCTCTACAGTTTTTTAAAAAACTAGCTGGACATCATGGTCCATGTACCTGTCGTCCCCAAAATTCAGGAGGTTGAGGTGAGAGGATCACTTGAGCCCAGGAGATTACAGTGAGCTATGATCATGCCACTGCACTCCAGCCCAGGTGATAGAACAAAACTTCGTGTCTCTTAAAAAAAAAAAAAAGCAAGTTTTCTACATGTGCTGTTTCTTCTTTCAGAATAAATCTAATGCTCCTAGTGAAAATAACCTGGCCCTCCTTTGTGGTGGTTCTGGTGACCAGGCTGAGTGGAATCTTGGACAGGATGACAGTGCTCTCCATGGCAAGCACCTCCCTCCATCTCCCAGGAAGCGGGTTTCCTCTAGTGGTTTGACAGATTCTCTGTTTATCCTTAAAGAGGAAAGCAGTGACAAATGCCTCAGTGCTGACAATGTGAGTGACCCTACTGTCGTAGAAAAGCCAGCTACTACTTCAGGACTGGATTTCCAACCAGCTTCCCTTGAAGTTTCTCTGACTGATAAAGGAAGGCCAGAAAAGAAGGAAACACTAAGTCAGATTTCAGATGATCTGCTTATACCCAGCCTTGGGCGACATCCATCTACCTTTGTTCCTTGGGAGAAAGAAGGGAAGGAAGCCAAAGAGACTTCGGAAGATATAGGACTGCTCCATGAAGTAGTGTCATTGTGTCACATGACATCTGACTTTCAACAAAGCTTAAACATTTCAGAAGAAAACATAAGTGGGAACCAAGCTTAAATCTTGTGTCCAAGCGTCTATGGAGACATTCTGGGATTCCATGTCATCTGTATAATAAATAAAATTATTTGTAGGAGTGACAACTCTTACTACTATTTAATTTTTTTTTTTTTTTTTGCATTTGGAGCATACATTTCCCCCACTTGTTCTTTTTATGGATGTATGTTATCCATTGATTTTAAAATATAAAGCAAATTCTTATATTGTGTTCTTAAATCAGGTACTAGTTTACATGTATGTTAAAAGTATATATTGAACATATGATCTCCCAGTATTTGGTGCTTGATGCCATTCATTCTATTTAAACTAAATATGCGTTTATACCCACTCACATAACCAGTAGCTACTATACTAATCTGGTTGAGCATGAGCTGATCAAAACCTATTAAAACTAACCTGAAACTGATAAAACTGTTAACCCACTGATTGCCTTAATCTTAAAACTGTATTAAGCCTACTTAAATCATGTATGAAATTACATGTAAAGTTTGAAGGATAAGTTATTAGTGTTCTGGAGAGCAACAATGCCTTTTTCTATTCATCAAATCAAGGTCAATATTCAGTTTTTTCAAGATTGAAAAACTCCCCTGTGGAGATACCTAATTTGCTTATATAAGGGCACTGTAGCCACATTTTCAAAAAAAAGTATAAATGTATATGTTTACCTTTCATTCATTGAAATACATGAAGTGCTGAACTTATAATGTAAAGTTAATGACTTTGGTTTACAAATGAGACACTATAAAAAATGTTCACAGTCTCTCTGTGTATGCCTTTGCTATTTAGGGGTCTACCCAAGAAAGCCAAATACAACATAAACTGTCCTGATAAAATTTTTTTCTTTTTTAACCTAATAATTCTTTATCAAAATGCTTCCTATCATTATCTCAAATTTACTTTTTAAATTAATTGACTTTGTATTTCAAAAGTTTTAGATTTATAGAGACATTGCAAAGATTATAGTTTCCATAGATCCCTGTTATTTCTCTATTATTAGCATCTTATATTAGTATGGGACACTGGTCACAATTAATGAACCAATATTGATAGTCCTTACTTTATTCAGATTTCTTTAGTTTTTTCCCTAATACTCACTTTTTGTTTCAGGATTCTAAGATCCCACATTACATTTAGTTGTTATATTGCCGTTGGCTCCTCTTGGCTGTAGCAGTTTCTTAGACTTTCCTTGTTTTTGATGACTTTGACAGTTTTTAAGAGTACTGTCATACTTGTAGGATGCTTCTCTCTTGGAATTTATCTGATTTTTTTTTATGATTAGTCTGGGATTATGCGTTTTGGAGAAGAAGATCATAGAAGTAAAGTGCCATTTCATCACATCATATCAAGGGTACTCACTGTCAACATGATTTATGAGTGTTGATGCTGACCTTGATAGGTAGTGTTTGTCACTTTAAAGTTACTCTTCCCCCTACCTTTCCTTCTGTAGTTTCTGGAAGTCACTATGAGCAGCCCACACCTAAGGAGTAGGGAGTGGTACTTCTGCTTCCTTTGGGGCAGAGGAGTATTTACATAAATTATTTGGAATTCTTCTGTGTTGAAAATATATCTCTTCTTTCTGAAATTCACTGGAATGCATTTGCGAAGGAGTCATGTACTGATTATTACTTCATGATTGACTACATTGACAGATATCACCAGGAAAATAATAGTGATTATGGTTAATTTGTTATGAGCGTGTTCAGTATATTCACTGTATGCATCACCATCATGATTTTTTAAATTGTCTTTTTAGAAAAGATGTTTAAGAAATCATCATAGAACCCCAACAAGACTGATTCTAAAATATTTATTGAAAATATATAATTTCACTTAAAATTTTTGGAGGGGGTTTGAAATAATTTAAAGAAAATGACCAATTTTTTAAAAAACTACATTTCAAAATATAAATGAATTTGTGTTAGTTGGAACAATTATTCATTCATGATTACAAAAGAAAAGTCTTGTTTTCCTTGTGAGGATGAACTCTGAATAAAGAATAAAAATGTTTATTATTTTTGTTAACACAGAAGACTCAAAATTCTTATCAAATTTTGCCTATAAATGCTTATTACAAGATTCCAACCAAATCTTGTAGTTAGCATCACAAGATATACAAGATATTATATACAGGAACTATGTAATAGAAGTTCATATGTCAAAAGAGCTGTTTTAACTGAAGAGAAAAAAGGTTATTCTGGTTGTTAATTGACTTAGCAAGTGTTCCTTCATAATTTTTGAAAAGAATGTAAAGCAGCCTTTTAATATGAATTTCAAAAATGAGATGTTTTTGTTTGTTTTTGTTTCAACTCTTAGACTGAAGAATGATATAATCATGAGACCAAATTTAGGTTCTAGTCCATGTACTTAATAAGCATTATGGCCTCAGAAATTGAAGTCTTTTTACTGTCTTTAATCACCGTACAAGATGTTTGCCTATAATACCATGTAATTTTGAGGATATTTAGTCACTCATAGGCGACATAATTGTCTTAAGATATCTAAAAATGATGTGTGCCTTGTGTTAGCATGCAAAATTAGCTGTTTTATTCCATGTTAAAACAAAAGCAAAAACAACGATTCTACATATAATTCTTGAAAAAATACAGAAGGTTGTTAGCAAATAGTCTTCTATTAAAATTAAAAACCATTAACATTTTGAATATTCAAAGTCTGCTCTTAAACTAGACTTCCCAGTATTATGGTGGATATAGTAAGAATTAAGTGAAATTAAGATGATTTCTGAAATAAATGGAAGTGTTACTTCATTTACTACAGTGCCCACATTTTTTATAGTAACTAGGCCAAATATTTATAAGCTCCTCTGCTGTTTGAAATTATTTTTCAAAGAAGCGACATCTGTTCTACAACAGAATTATACAAACTGGTGATATTTTTGGCTTTAATACATACTCTTTTATATGACCTCTAAACTGAGTCATGATTCTTCTTGAATGGCACTCCTGCTTTTATCCTTTTGCCCCTGGATATTGCATTCATGGTATTTCAGGAGGGTTGGGTAGAAAAGTAGTGTGTGAATTCAGGAACTTTTGCTTTGTTAAGTTGAAAATGTTGCTAAGTGGCATATTGTGATGATTATCTACTTTACCATGTCTTGGAAAGGCACTAAAATATAGCATGATTATTTTAAATTTATTATAATTAATAATTCATTTAGAAAATATTTATTGACCTTTGTACCAGTCATATGCAAGGTATAGTCGCTGAGGGTGTGGGGAAATAAAATAATTGACATAGTCCCTGCTCTGAAGGAACAAATTTTAAAAAGGAATTGCAAATCTGTTAAAATAATAATAATGATAATGTACTTTGCCTAGAAGATATTGGTCTGAGATTCTAACAACACAAAAAAATTTTTATCGCTCCTGAATTTATAGCATGCTCTAAGTACAGAATCATAGTACCATTTCTAATTTCATTAACTTCCTTTCTCAATTATTATGCTAAGTGTAATAATGCTGCTAAGATATCCACTTTTAAAGGACAGAATCAGAAACTCTTTTAGAAGCTGAGTGTCTTTCTTTATCTGATACTCTATCAGATACCCAGGCAGCACAGGGCTCTCTATAACAGAATAATGGTCCTTTGCAATACTTAGGGCCACTACTCAGATTAGGAATAACTGAGCATGTGAATGCATGTTAATAGGAATCCAATTTTTACTGTTTTTAGTCTAATGACAGCATTCTTTAGAAACAGTTATTCCTTTTTAAGTTAAAACTGTATATGACAGTGCTGTTACTAGGATTCTGTACCCATCCTAATAATAGCATTCAGGAACGCTAATGAATTAGTTGTTTATTAAATAAGGTGAAGAAATGTACTCCTGGTCAAGAAGAGAAAATTGAATATTCTCATAATCAGTAGACCTTCATTCTCTTCCAGAAAATTTGGATTTTAGGAAAAGTGTGATTATTTTCATAACTACATTTTCTAATACAAATTCCATTTTGTTTGCCATAACAAAAACCCTGAATCTGAGAAGATATTTGTAAATCAGAATATTTAAGAATGTAAAATGAATCCCCAGATCTTAACTTCTCCCAAAGCACTTCTTAACGTAGGAAATATTTTTTACAAACGCTTTATCAGTACTGATATCTTTCCTGTGTCAAGCCCAGTGATATGTTAATGTATGTTTCTTAAAACTTATTTAAGAGGCAGAATGGTTTTGAGCAAACCAGTTAATATTATGATTTGGTGAAGAAATGATGCACATTTAGTCAGAAACATTTTATTTTTAAAATAATAGGAATTTGTGCAATATTTTTCTTGCATAATTTAGTTCATATAAATATGCACATCTGCTTTCCTGGCAGATGCCTTAAGGTCATGTTTTTCAGTATTTAGATAAAACTGTATGTAGCAGTGTTATTTGTAGGTTCAGAAAAAAATAAATTTATATTGTTAGGAGAAATATTTTTGTTTAAAATAATTATGGCTATTGTGTTATTGTATCATAACTAACTGCCTCAGCAACAATAAATATGCAATAAGGAAATCCTATACCTTAAATTAGTATTGACAATACTGTTACTTTTAAGGAAATATGTATGGTACAAATTGCTGATTTTACATGAGTACATTTAGCAGATACTCAGTTCTGCGTCACATAAATAGAAATGGTATTTGTATAATAATGGCCACATATGTAAATTGTAATATCTTTGTGATGATTCTTTGCTAAGTTTTATAAAGGGCATTGCCAATAATTTTTGACTGTGTAAATTAAGTTAATTTTTTGTATGATGTACAGTTTGTTTAACCTTAGAGCTTCTATAGATTTCTACTTTTATTATACTTGAATGAGGCAGAAAAGCACTGTGGAAAATCTGTAGCTCTGGATGCAATATGCAAACATGCCAAAAAGTAAATAAATAAAGCAAGGTACTGAACAGCAATGTTAACAGAATGCTTTATATCCAGAAAACTGTGTTTTTTCAAGCCACATTTTAGTTAAATGAAGTAATTGAAGTCATACAATCTTTTATTTTGAAATGTTGCAAAGTGAAGTCATAGATTATTACCTCTTTGGTAGGATAAGCCTATGAGTCTATTCATCTCTGTGTTATTTCAGCTCTCAGGTGAGAGCCTTGTTGAGATCCATGGACAAATTTACCCTCTGGTTGATTACATGACGTTTAGGACAAGATAAAATTAGAAAACTGTGCATGTTAAATGCATCACATGTTAAGTCACCATCCTTCAGATAGTATAACTTCCATAAGGTTATTTTGAGAACCGTTTAATAATCATATAACAAAAACTATATATCTCAAGTCTATTGTAGTTTAGTACTTATAGCAGTGCCTAAAATAGCAACAAATATGAACTGCACGAATCCTATAACCCCAAATGCATAAAGCTTTTTTTCTTTTTACCATAAAACATGGGAGGTGTTCAAAACTGAACTTTTTGAAAGCTTATTTATTTTGCTTTAGATGAAGAGTTGTTTAAAAGGACTGAAAATCCTGAGCTTTTGCTCAACTTGTAGCAGGTATCTACAAAAATCTACCCAGCATTGAGATTTGCTTCACTGTACTTGCATCCTTGAGGCTACAGTATAAATCATCTCCAAAGTTTATTATTATTGGGAAGATGTTGTGTATAAAAGTATTGCTTGGGGAATTTTTAAAATATATGCAAATATAAATATTGGATGAACTCTACATTACCATAAAGTACCCAACAATGAAGTTATAAAATAAAATTGGTCACAATCAAACTTTGCATGGTAGTGACTTTTCTTTTATAATTGGCCAGTTACCCACACAGTGTTCTAGGTGGACTGCTGTAAGGACCCTTTCACCTCTGT